TCCAGGATCATGACCTGAGCCGAAGGCAGTTGCTAAACCAACCGAGCCACCCAGGCGCCCAACATATCCATCACCTTACATAGTTACCATTTATGTGTGTGTGTGGTGAGAACCCTTAAGATCTCCTCTCTTGGGGCACCTGGCTGGCTCAAGTTGGTAGAGCATGTGACCCTTGATCTTGGGGTTCCAAGTTCAAGCCCCATGTTGGATGTAGAGCTTACTTAAAAAAAAAAAAAAAGATCTACTCTCTTAGCAAATTTCAAGCATACAATACATTATTATAGTCACCATGCTATAAATTAGGTTTCCAGAACATATACCTCTTATAACTGAAAGTTTATTCTCTTGGACCAACATCTTCCCATTTCCCACATCCCCACAGCACCTGGTAACCATTATTCTACTCTCTGTTTCCCTGAGTTCAACTTTTTTACATTTCACATATGAGATCATGCAGTATCTGTCTTTCTGGCTTATTTTGCTTAGCATAATGTCCTCCAGGTGTATCCATGCTACTGTAAATGGCAGGATTTCCTTCCTTTTTAAATTTAAATTTTCATGTCTGTTTATTCTTCCTTAATTTTGGATGGTTTCTCAGCATTTCCTTGTCTTTCATGTCATTGACATTTTTGAAGAATATAGGCGAGTTATTTTATAGAATGTTCCTCAGTTTAAGTTTGTCAGTGTTTCCTCATGATCACATTCAGGTTATATCTCTGGCCAAAATACTACTTAAGTGATCTTGTGTTGCTTTAGGGAATCACATTCAGAGACACATATTTATCTGACTCTTATTGATGATGAGGATTATTGATAATAATCATCTGGTCAAAGTATTGTCCACTTTATTCCACTTTTTCTGCTGCAGTTAGATTTTTCTCCTTGTAATTTATAATCAATCTGTGGGATGATACACTGAGAACATGCAAATATCCTCTCCTTGTGAAACTTACACTTCAATATTTAGTATCCTCTGATGATTCTTGCCTAATCAATCTTTACTATGATAGACGTACATAGTAATTTTTTAACTCTACCACCCTTTCCATATTTTTAATTGTCGTTCTGCTATAATGAAGGGTCTTCTTATCTCCCTTACTTTTTGATTTATCTATTCATTGTTATTATGGATTCATGGATTTCTATTTTATTCAATGGGTAATAACCCATTATTGTCCTAATTTATTCTGATGCTCAGATTGTCCCGGGTTTGGCCAGTTGGAGTCCCTTTTGCAGCCTCATGTGGCCAACCTTCTTTGAGCAGTCCCTTACTTTTTGGCATAACATATAATGTTCCAAGCACATTGGTACCTTCTCTGCTCCCGCCCTGGAATCCGACATTTCTACAAGGAGCGCTTTTCCTTTAGGTGAAAAATGGTATTTAGAAATCAAGATCTGAGAAAAACGGATACAGGCCATTTTTAACAAAACGGCAGAAGATAGTACCTATGATCAGAACCTAAAGTTTCATTCTAAATCCTAGGAATCAAAAGTAAACTTAGTGCCAAAGAGCTTAACAAAGTTTGGAGCTCAGATTCAGTGTGAAACTCATCTCATCATTACGGGTAAAGTGACTTTGAATGGATGCAGACCCAAAGATTCTCAAATGTGCTCATTCTTACCAGATCAAAGAGGATGGAATCTGGGATCTCAACAGAATCTAGGTAGCACCTTCAAATT